GCCACTTTATTTAATGTGATGTCCAGAAAAGGAGTGAAAGATGATTTAAAGTCAGCCCCCAGCCCTGGCTGGTTTGGCTCAGTGATTTGAGTTTTGGCCTGTGGACCAAAGAGTTGTGGGTTCAGTTCCAGCCAAGGGCATGTACCTTGGTTGCAGTTTATTCCCTGGCCCTGGTCGAGGTCCTGCAGGAGGCAACCAATCGATGTGTCTCTCTCACATTGACGTTTCTGTTTCCCTCCTGGCCTCCCTCCCACTCTATCTGAATATAAATGGAAAATATCCTTGGATGAGGATTAAAAAAACAAACAAAAAAGTCAGCCCCCAGTGGGGCTAGCATGAAGGCGCTGCTCCTCAGTGAAGGTGAAGCTTTGACCACTCACATTGTCCTCCAAGCTTTGTGGAGCCCTTCTACTGGTCAAAGGTGTGGCTTTCTCTATCAGATCTTATTTACTCAGGGCCTGAGTGGTTTCTTGACTCATTGTGGCCATAGCAGGAGACCGGCCTCCCATTCTGAAGCTAGACTAGGTTCATTGGGTTTTATCCTTGAGTGCATGAGTATATTCCTGGGAAATGGGAGTGTGAAGAATTTAGTCCATGGCCCTGGGCCCTGGGCCCTCCTCAGATGTTGGAAGAGGGAGGAGATGGTTGGTGAGTCTTCCCTCCTTGATTAGTCTTCCCTCCTGGGATTTCGTGGGTTTCTTGAGAACTGGTTAAATTGAACAGTGAGTCTCAGCCTGTTTAGTTTCTTCAGTCTTGTGCTTTCAAACCTTTAAAATGGAAAGATGGATTGGAGCTTAACAGAGACAGCTGTGCATTTCCACTGATAATTTATATTTCGTTTCAATCATGAAAATACAAGAGTGATTTCTAAGTGGTTTTGTCCTTGCCTCTGGGCACTGCATTGCCTATTAGCACAAGGTTGGAGGGGGAAAGGGAGAATGGGAAATTTGGACCCAACATTTTGGTTCCTAGGGAGTGGGTGGTAAGTTCCATTAATGACTTAAGCAGATTTCTTTCATCTTGTTAGAGTTTGTTGAAAGTGGGGGCTCTGCTGCCTAAATGAGGGACTTTTCTGCAGGATGGTCCGCCCTGTCTGCTGAGTTACAAGTGTCCTGCACTAGGACACGTTCACAAGGGCATAGGGTTAGGCTTTTGGCTGTCAGTGCTCTGCCCTGCTGGCGGCATCTCAGGGTGCTGTTGGTGGCGTTGTGTGACTTTGCCTTTTCTGAGACATTTTTATTTCTTGTGAAAACCACTCAGCATCCCTGGCTAGTTTGGCTCAGGGGTTAGAGCATCGGCCCACAGACCACTGAGTTGCGGGTTTGATTTCAGTCAAGGGCACGTACTTCGGTTGCAATTCGTCCCCGGCCCTGGTTGGGGTCATGCAGGAGGCAACCGCTCGATGTGTCCCTCTCACATCGATGTTTCACTCTCTCTCTTTTCCTCTTGCTCCCTCCCACTTTATCTGAACAAAAATGGAAAAATATCCTCAGGTGAGAATTTAAAAAAACCATTCAGCAAACTTGGTCACAGTATTGGGTTCTTATATGCTTGCTATCAAGGACTTTATAATCTAGCAGTAGAGAAAAATATACCCATTATTAGTATGCAGTGCAGGGTAAGAGCTGTAAGAAATGTCTGGAGCCTTGGCCAGTGTGGCTCAGTTGTTTGAATGTCGTCCTGTGCACCAAAAGGTTGCCAGTTTGATTCCCAGTCAGGGTTTATGCCTGAGTTTCGGACTCATTCCCCAGTGGGGGGCGTTCAGGAGGCAGCTGGTTGATATAGTTCCCTCTTATATCGATGTTTCTCTCCCTCTCCCTCTCCTTCTCCCTCTCCCTCCCTCCCTCTCTCAAAAAATCAATTTTAAAAAAGAATGTCTAGAGAAAGTGCTGCAAAAACTTAGAGATTATAACTTTTTGCTGGTGTTAAGAGGGGTGGGGGGGATCAAGGAAGGCTTCATAGAGGTGGTGGCATCAGACAATTCATTGCCATTGAATTCAGCCTGGAAGGGTTTCTACAGGTAGGAAGGGGACGGGGGCAAAGGCAGGGAGGTGAGTTAATGCTCTATTTGCAAGGACTCCAGTTACCGGCTGGAATGGAGAGGAATCCAGCAAAGTGAGGCTGTAAAAGTACACGGGGCTGCCCTGGCCAGTTTGGCTCAACGGTTAGAGTGTCGGCCTGCGGTCCAGAGAGACCCAGGTTCGGGTCCCGCTAAAGGCACATACCTCGGCCCTGGTTGGGTTGTGTGGGTGGCAGCCACTTGATGTGTCCCTTTCACGTCGATGTTTCTCTCTCTCTCTCTCTCTTTCTCTCTCTTCCTCTCCCTCCCACTCTATCTGAACAAAAAATGAAAAAATGTGCTCAGGTGAGGATAAAAAGAAAAGAAAAGTACACTGGGCCAGCTGCGTAGGGCCTGGACTGCCAGGCCGAATACTTGGTACTTATCAGTGGCTGCTGGGGAAGCTGAAGGCTTTTAATAAAGTGAGAATTAAATTTTGGCTCTAGGAAGAATAGTGAGCACTGTGCAGGGTAAACTAGTCAGGGGTGAGGCCAGAAGCAAGACCAGTTTATTAAATGGGACCAGCCCCTGACCCATGGCGGTGGGAGTGGAAATGAAGAAGCTTAAAATGACATAATTTGTTGCTTCTGTGTCTGCTCTGTGGCACCCCTGCCAGTGGGGTCCCTGCGGAGCCCTGGCATCCGCATATGGCACTGTGGACATGGCTGCCCCAAGGAAGCAGGCTCGCCAGCACCTCTTTCTCCGGCAGGACAGTCTGTGCCCGTAGTCAGGATGACCACATCCTGAGCTCTCCCCTGACTGCTCCCTGGGTGTCACGGGGGCACTGGCACCGAGCAGCCAGGCACCACTCAGGGCTGCCAGATTCAGCAAATCAAAGCACAGGTGCCAGTTAGATTGGAATTTCAGATAAACCACGAGTAATCTTTTAGTGTGTCCCGCACAATCTTGGCTTTATCTGAAATTCCAATTTACCTGACATCCGGTATGTAATCTGACGGTCCTAACCACTCATTCTCTGCTCCTGGCCCCGGGCTCACCTTGCTGCTCCCGTTTCCCACCTGTTTCCTCCCGAGTTAGTCTCTTAGTGGGGTCCAGAGTCAGGTAGGGCACATGCTTCCCAGGAGGGGTCAGCCTAATTTGGGGAATGGGCGTCCCAAATCAGTGCCAGGGTTTGGTACCTATGTACGGCATGAGGTAAATTTTCTGTCTAAGCAGGCAGGGAGACAGGAAGACCTTGTGTCCCAATGCCAAAGGGGACGGGGGAGCATCAGGCCTGAGGGAGTCTTCCAGGTTTCTGCCTAGTGTCCCACAGTGCACCTGGGCCTGGCGAGGATGTCCCTGAAATCGGGCTGCTCCTGCACCTCACCTCGCCTCATTCTCCTTTCCGGTCCTCTCCTACCCACTCACATCCACAAGAGTGCTCGGACCTGGTGGGCCCAGACATCCTCACACTGTGCTCTGTGCCTAGAACGTCCTTCCACTCTTCACCCACGAGCGCGTCCCCGCCCCTTTCCCTGACCAAAGAACCCTGAGCCAACCTCCCTCGTGACTTCTACCACACTGGACTGCTCGCACCTGTGACGGTGTCTCCCGTAGAGATGGCTGTCTAAGGACAAGAACCTGCCTCGTCAGTGTCCTCGCTGCCCACCGCCACGCCTGCACCTAGGAGGTGCTCAGTAACGTGATGGGTGAACAGCAGGCCTCTGGGAGCCCGCTGCCCTTCACACCCCGTTTGTGTTCCACAGGGAGCACCCCGGCTCCAGCCCTCACACCTGCACACTTCCCAACACTTCAAGGTCGGGGGGGGGGGGTTCAGCACTTTTCACAAGCATTAAAGAAAACCTATCAGGAAAGTCTTGGCCCTGGACTTACCTGTCCCCACACCTGCCATTTGCCCAGACTAGTGAGGCCCTGAGTATCCTGGCCGGAGCCAAAGCTGTGGGCTGGACCCTGTGGCCTTTGTCCTGGGCCCTCCGCTCCAGGGGCGGCACTGAGCCTGGACCGTTTCTCCAGGTCACACTCCCTGCTGCACCTTCTAGAAGCTACTTGCTGGCATCAGACATTCTCTGTGAAGCCACTTGTTGCATTGTTAGGGCAGGAGGGGATGAGGGAGACTGCACTGCCTGCCCGTCCCCTGTGGAGTGGGGCGGGTCTGAGAAACCCTCCCCCGGACACGTAGCGTGAACAGACGGGTGGTGTTCTGTAAGGGGTGCATGGGAAGGAGTTGTGGGGATGTCTTGGCTATTACAAGCAGAGCAAAGGAGAGATGCAGGTTGGAAGGAGGCTAGAAGGACAGACAGATCCCCAGTTAGTCGGGATGTAAGCAGCCCCACCTGCTGCAGGTGCTCATTTGTGAGATGACGGGCGGGCAGGGCTGAGAGGGAGATTTCTCTTCGACGCTCCTAATGCGAACCGTTTCCCAAACACGTCCCTGGGTGGTGCTGGGGAACGTCTCCGGGAGGAGGTAGGTGGGCAGGACAGTAACGACCTGAGTAGCTGGCAGGATTGCTCGTGACCTGGGCTTCCAGGTCCAAAGCGGCAGCCTTCCTGGCCGTGGTCTGGAGCCCAGCACTGCCCCTGGGGCGCGTGAGGCCTCCAGGCATTGGCAGGCAGCTCCGGGCAGCGGAGTCCCAGCGGAAGGTGGGGGAGGCTCCCCGTGCTCTTGTGTGCAGCCCTTTGCTGGAAACGTCAGGGAGGCTCAGAAAACCAGCCACCGATGAACCCCTCCCCCGGTCACCGTGGCAGGCCGCTGGCCGCCGAGGGCCCTTGTGGTCCATGGTTCCTGCCCTTCAGGCTGGCTCAGGACCTGAGTGTTGGGAGAGAACCACAGTCTGAGGTCCAGCCCTTGCTCTGGGCCTCTCTGGTGTCCCCATGAAGCCAGCACCCTGGAGAGGGACCTCAGGGGACTTAGTGGCCAAGTGGCAAACAAAGGGCTCCACTCTCCACTCCCGGCCCACCCTACTCGGGGCTGTCCCTGCAGGTACCTGAAGGAGTTCCGCACAGAGCAGTGCCCGCTCTTTGTGCAACACAAATGCACTCAGCATCGTCCCTACACCTGCTTCCACTGGCACTTCGTGAACCAGCGCCGCCGCCGGTCCATCCGCCGTCGGGACGGCACGTTCAACTACAGCCCCGACGTCTACTGCACCAAGTACGACGAGGCCACGGGCCTCTGCCCGGAGGGCGACGAGTGAGTGCCCCCCAGCCTGCCCTCAGAGGAGCCCCAGCCTCCTGGGTCAGGTGCCCTCGGAACAGGCCAGGCAGGGTCTGAGAAGCCAGCCTGAGGCTGTTTTGGGGGCACTGTTGCAGCCTGGCCCACCTTCCTGTGGCCTGGACCTGGACTCAGACCCCATCAGGCTCTGGGGAGGCCCCTTCTCCTTTTCCCACTGTGGGAAAGCCTGCACAGGCCTTCTGCTGAGCCTGAGGGCCACACCTGAACCAAAGTGACTCCCTGGTCCTTCTGTCATGGCCCCCTGTCACTAGGACCCTCTCTACAACCTGCCACCACCCACCCCACCCCACGCAGTTCCCGCCAGAGACACAGCCTCTCCAGTTCCCCATTGTGCTAACACGAAAGAGTTTGCCACCGTGCTCTGCAAAGAAACAGGGCACAACACAAATGACAAGGAGGTCCAAACCCGGGAACATCTCTGAGGGGACATTCACTCACTGACTTCTTGTCATTTGTTTCAACCTTGCAGAGGTGGCTTCTGCAGGTACAAGTCCCTAACCCTCCCCGCACCAGCACTCCTTCTGCACAGGTCAAGGCTTGCTGACCCCTCCCCCGGCCTCATGGCACGTTCGGGGCACTAGGCCTTGTCTCCTCCGAGAACCCTGACCCGGGCAGTGTGTCTTCTCCGAGGATCACCCCTCTCGGGGCTTCTCTTTAGAACAGCCTGAGAGCAGACTTGCTGGGCAGGCTGAAGTAGGAATGCCAGGCCCCGCTGGGTCCCTTTTGAGCTGCAGCGCCGGACTGGCAGTGGGGGTTCTGTCACCGCAGCAGGGCTCATCACCGCCTGCCACCTGCACCCAGCACCAGGGCACCATCCGGTCGTAGGGAAAGGGGTGGGACGGGGAGCCCAGGTTGCAGGGGCACAGGTGAGGGACACCCCCCGTTTCCATGTTTCAGGTGCCCGTTCCTGCACAGGACCACAGGGGACACTGAACGCAGGTACCACCTGCGCTACTACAAAACTGGAATCTGCATCCACGAGACAGACTCAAAAGGCAACTGCGCCAAAAACGGCCTGCACTGCGCTTTTGCCCACGGGCCCCATGACCTCCGCTCCCCTGTCTATGACATCAGGTGGGCTGGATGCCGCGCTGGGCTGATGGCTGTGGGCCGGGGTGGGGGCCTGGCTGCTGACTCGGTGAGCACCACACATGGAGTGCAGGGCTGGCACTCTGGCTTCTCCCCTCATGCCCCTTCCCACGCTCTCTGTCTGCTCCTCTCCTCCCAGGGAGCTCCAGGCCATGGAGGCCTTGCAGAATGGCCAGACCACAGTGGAGGGCAGCATAGAGGGCCAGTCTGCTGGGGCCGCAAGCCACGCCATGATAGAGAAGATTCTCAGTGAGGAGCCGCGGTGGCAAGGTAAAGGTGCCACACATGGCCAGGCCCTCACCAGACACCTGTCCTGACCCCGCTGATCCCACAGCTGTCCTGGGGACTGCTTGCCCCTCATCCCACCTGACATCCAGCCAAACAGCCCTGCCATTGAGGGCCACTTCCAGGGGAGTTTCCCCAGACATATCTTGCCCTGCTCCCATCATCCCAGGTGCACCCCAGATTTCCCAGGGGGCTTTCATGCATACATACTTGCACATGTATGTAAGTACATATATGTGTGTGCTCGAACCTCCTGAGGGCACCCTCTTACCCTGTGAGCTGTGAGTATCTCCAGTGAAGGGCAGCATCCGCCCACCCTCCCTCTGTCCTGCGTTATCTCAGTCTTAGCTTGGGCCCTGCTCGCACCTCTCCCAGAAGCCTCAGCTCCTAGACCCCTCAAGTGGCTTCTCCTCCCTCCCTCCACCCCCACCTGACCTGTGTCTCTGGCGCCTGTGCAGAGACGGCTTACGTGCTGGGCAACTATAAGACGGAGCCGTGCAAGAAGCCCCCACGGCTGTGCCGCCAGGGCTATGCCTGTCCCTACTACCACAACAGCAAGGACCGGCGGCGGAGCCCTCGCAAACACAAGTACAGGTCCTTTGGCCCAAGCAGGGCTGCCGTGGGAGCGGGGGGGCCGGGCCGGGATCCCAGCAGGGGCTGCTCCCCCTGCGCTGTCGGGGCAGGGAGGCCCAGCTACAAGGGGGTAGTGAGAATGGCAGAATAATGGGAGCCTGCCTGGATCCTCTCACGAAATGAGGATCTGGGGTCCAGTGCTCTCTGAGGCCCCTCCAGCTCAGATCCAGAGGGGCGTCTGCTAGGGCCATGCCATGGTGTCGAAAGGGTGGTGGTGGCTACAGCCCACTGTCCTTGAGCTGCAGAGAGCTCAGTGGGAGGACCTAGCTGACAGAGCAAAGCTGGGCCCGAGCAGCAGAGCCCACTTCTGGCCTAAGGGACGGGGATCTGGTTGGCATCCCTCAGATCCTGATCTCTCCTTGCATCTATGTGACCCCACCCTCTCACTGGACCAGGTCGTCTCCGTGTCCGAACGTGAAACACGGGGATGAGTGGGGAGATCCCGGCAAGTGTGAGAACGGAGACACCTGCCAGTACTGCCACACCCGCACGGAGCAACAGTTCCACCCGGAGGTGGGCCTGGGAGCCGGGCCGGCCCTCTCGGGGGGGGGGGTGGCTTTGCATGGCCTCTTGGGAAAGCAGGCTGAGCCCACACTGACTCCGTCCTGGAGGAGGGATTGAGAGCCACAGGCTCCCCGACCTCAGCGCCTGAAGGAGCCCTGCCCTCTCGCTTGGCGACTTCCCTCGTCCTGAGCTCACACTCCCCAGGCAGCACTCTGCTCCCAGCCTGTTTCCCCCAGGCCTCCACAGGGGGCGTGGCCTGGGCCTGGTGCCCTGGCCTTCTGGGCTTTGCACCACTCACTGTGCTTAATCCAGTGGTAAAATAAGAAAGCTCCAGATGCTTGTCCTGTTCCAGCTGAGAGCCTAGAGTAGCAGCAGCCTCCCTGACACAGTTCCCCAGCCCACTGGCCCCATAGGTGTCCTTGAGTCCTTGCAGTGCGCCGAGATCTTATGTAGGGTACATAGAGACACATGCTGTCCCTTCCCCTGGTTCCATGGAGCCCAGGACACCCAGAGATAGACACATGAACAGACTACCTTATGAGGGCTATGGACAGCAGGGTGGAAGGTTAGACCCAGCGTAAGTCCCAACCTAGGTCCCAACCCAGCATGCCCTGGGGTGAGCAGGTGCTGCCTGTGGTCTTGGCTCTCGGAATGCCCAGAGGCACGTTCAGGGTCACAGCCCTGGCCAAGACCCCCCCAGAGTAGCATGGACAAGATCCCTTTGAGGGCTGGGTCAGGGCTGGTTGGACCTTTGACCCCAGAAGGGAGTGTGTACTCAGAAGTTGGTAAGGAGAAACCTGGGGAAGTGGCGTGGAATGTGAAGGAGAAAAGAGATTAGCAACAGAACGCACCCACGCGAAAGGTACCCTGCCTGCCTGTCCCTCTCTGCCCAGGCCTGACGCGCTTCTGCTCTGCCCCTCCAGATCTATAAGTCCACCAAGTGCAATGACATGCAGCAGTCGGGCAGCTGTCCCCGAGGACCTTTCTGCGCTTTCGCCCACGTAGAACGTAAGCAGCTCCCGTTGACCTGAGGGCTGTCCTCTCCTCTCACCCTCGCTCAGATTCCGGCAGGGGAGGCACCTCCCAGGGCCCACTAGGTGATCCCAGCAGCCATCCCGTGCCACATGCATGGCAGACATCACTAACTGAACGTGGCACTCTGCCCTGCTGCGCCCTGCTGAGAGCAGAGCTGTCCAATCAGAATGTAACGCAACTCCCTCACGTCATTCAGATATTCTAGTAGCCACATCAAAACGAAGCAAGAGAAACAGGTTACATTAATTTGAACAATCTATTTTTGTTTAATCCATTATAAAATATTTAAAAAATGATCCATATAGAAAATCATTCAAGATATTTTACTAGTTTTTTCAAACTGTCTTTGGAAGCTGGTGCGTATGTGAATGTCAGCTACGCATTTCAGTTCAGAGCAGCCGTGTTCCGAGTGCTCGGGCCGCCGTGCTGGGCAGCGCTGCTCGACTCTCCACGTTGCCTGCAGCCACTGCGGCTGAGCTCAGACAGCTCAGGTGACAATTCATGTCCGCCAGAGCCACTGCGCTGGCTGTCCTTCCCCTTCCCAGGCTCGGACCTTCTCCGGGGATTGGAGTGAAAAAGACCCTGAGGGCCATGGGAAGGGGAAGCGTATTCTTGGCACAGAGGTGGTCCCCAGCCTTGGCACTGGGGCCACCAATGGAGGCAGCACAGAGAATTGATCATGGTTCAGGCTTTGGAATCGTACAGATCAGGGTTCAGTCCCAGCTCCTCTGTTTCTGAGCTCTGCCACCATGGTAGGTTCACCTTGCCTCTCTGGGCCTCAGTTTCCTAGTCTATGAAATGGAGACCACGATAGTACTTCTGTCTTCAGTGACTGAAGATTCACAATGAGTACAGCCTGCCTGGCACCTAGTGAGTGCTCAGAGCACTCAGTGTTACCATGGTAACGGCGATAGGGGAGAAGCCTTCCCTTGAGAGACCCAGACGCATTTTTGGCTCAGGAGCCTGCTGACACCTGCCACTGTCTCTTGTAGAGCCACCCCTCAGTGACGACCTGCAGCCTTCCTCCGCTGTGTCCAGCCCCACTCAGCCGGGTCCCGTCTTGTACATGCCATCTGCTGCCGGAGACTCGGTGCCCGTGAGCCCCTCCAGCCCGCATGCCCCTGACCTCAGCACCGTACGTGCCTGTCCAGGGCGGGGTGGGGGGTGTCACACCTACCAGGAGCCGGCGTTTGCCTCTCGTGTCCTTCACCCCCTCTCAGCCTGTGCTTGGTGGGGAGGCCTTCGGGTTCTTCTCTTTCTGCCCCAGGATTCTTGTCTCTGCCAAAATTGGGTGGTGGGTGGGCTGAGTGTCCCCAGAGCCTGCGTTAGGCAGCCTGGGTAGTGCTGGTAACGGGGACACAGCTTTCTGTCACCCCCCCACACACACACAGTTCCCTCTTGACACTCTGGTTCTCCAGGGCGACGGTTGTTGCCCACTGGCAGATGGAAATGGAAGTGGGCCCCTTGCTGAAGAAGCTCCCTCGGAGGGGGCCGGAGGGGGCCGGAGGGGGCCGGAGGGGGCCGGAGGGGGCCGGGCCTCAGCCTGCATTTGCCCTCAGCCCACTCCCCTCCTTCTCTGCAGCTCCTCTGTAGAAACAGCAGCCTGGGCAGCCCGTCTAACCTGTGTGGCTCCCCCCCGGGCTCCCTGAGGAAGCCCCCAAACCTGGAAGGCGTCGTCTTCCCTGGGGAGTCTGGCCTCGCCCCTGGCAGCTATAAGAAGGCTCCTGGCTTCGAGAGGGAAGACCAGGTGGGAGCTGAGTTCCTGAAGAATTTCAAATGCCAGGTGAGGGACGAGAACAGCAGCCCCGTGAGGTCAGCCTCTTCCTCTGGGGGCTACCCTGCTGGGGCAGCACGACCGGGAGCCTGTCCTCAGCCTCTTCAAGACTGAGCACAATGAGTGAGGCTGAGCACCTTGCCCCGTGTCACAGAGCTGTTAATGCAGGAGTGGGGATGCCTGCCTTGGTCTTCTGTCCCCACATCCAGTCTTTTCCTGCCCTGTGCTGCCTTGGTGTGGCAGGGCCTTGGGAGCAGGACAGAGGCTTGGTGGCACCTGGGAGGAGAGGAGTGGCCCCCTGGTTCCTCGGGTAGGGAAGGGAGTAGGGGTGTGGAGGGAGAGCAGATCGTGTGTGAGGGGGCTGCAGGGTTCCGCCCCCAGCCTGGCCCCTGGGCCCTGAGCCATGGCAGGTTGACTATGCTTGGAGGACTGCTGGACTCAGGCCCTCCCTAGCACCACATTCATCTCCTGCTCTGACTTTCTCTCTCAGGCCAAGTTAAAACCCCACTCTCTAGAGCCTAGGAGTCAAGAGCAGCCTCTGCTTCAGCCCAAACAGGTACCGAACTCGCAGCCCCCTTCTGGCCCCTGCTGTGGACAGGCCAGGCCCCCAGCTCTAGAAGGCTACAGAGAGTGGGAGGCATGCTTTCCCGCAAGCTGAGGGCAGGACTAAGGTGGGCACTACCCCAGTCCAGAGAGGGTGGGGTCAGGCCCTGGAGCCCCTCCCCTCCTAGACTCACTCATCAGTCCGAAAATACTTATTGAGCGTCTGTACTGTGCCAGGCCCTGGACTCCCTTCTCCCTTCTCCCTTCTCCTACGCGAGACTGTAGGGACAAGTGGGTCCTGTGCGGGGGCGACCAGACCAGGGCTGGGATGCCCCGTTTCCCTCTGCCCCACCCAGCCTCCACCTTCAGCCCCTGGCTGTGCCTCCTGGGCGGGCATCCCATTGCCTCTCCTTCCTCTTTTGTTGCAGGACATGCTGGGCATCCTCCCCGTGGGCAGCCCCCTGACCTCAAGCATCTCTTCTAGTATCACCTCCAGCCTGGCAGCTACTCCCCCTAGCCCCGCGGGCACCAGCAGCATCCCTGGCATGAATGCAAACGCTCTGCCCTTCTACCCCACCAGCGACACGGTAGAGTCGGTCATAGGTAATTAGGCTGTTTCTGTTGCCCAGTCCAGGGCTGGATCTGGACTCAGAACACTAGGTCTCTGGGGGGAGACTTTGACCAGCATACTGGTTACTTTCGACATCTGACATCTGACTGGGCTTGAGCTAAAGAGGAGAGCCCAAGGTGCAGGGCCGAGACTAGCCCTTGTAGCAATTGGAGAAGCCTCTGCTTTGGGCGAGTGCACTCATTCCACGACCTGCGTCCTTCAGTCCTCACGCCTCCCTCCCCTAGATTCCTTGTGCAGCGAGAAGCCGCTCAGTGGAAGCTGGGCACTTCCCTTTCAGCAGTCACTCGGGGGCTACTTAGGGCTGGGTCCTAGTGTAGAGACTGGGTACAGACAGGGGGACTTTCTGCTCTTGACACCTCCTGGGCAGTGCAGCAGAGGGCAGTGCACGCTCACGCAGCACCTACTGCGCATCAGCCCTGGAGGCCCAGGGACGGGCTCCGGGTGGGACAGACGGACCATGCCTCAGGGGACAAGACCCTGGCAGAGGCAGGGACCTTGGCCTGGGACCTGACCCCCTGGGGTATCAGGGAGGCTTCAGAAAGGAGAGTCCTTTGAGCTGGACTTGGCTAGGCAGACAGGTCGGGGCGTGGCGTGACAGGCCCAGTCACAGGCAGGGCTTGAGAGACGGCCGGTCCGGTGGCACTTGAGCGTGAAGATGAGGTGGGGGCAGGAGATGAAGTGTGAAGGACGGCGGGTTCAAGAGGTGAGGCCTGGAACTTGGGGACTGTGCGCCCCTTGGAAGGCTGGGGCTCAGACCCTGATCGCTGTGTTCCTAGAGTCTGCCCTGGACGACCTGGACCTCAATGAGTTTGGGGTGGCTGCCCTAGAGAAGACCTTCGATAACAGCACAGTGCCCCACCCAGGCAGCATCACGATTGGTACGGGGCGGGGCTCTGGGTGGTCAGGGCGCCTAGAGATCCGCCGGCCCGGCGCGGCAGGTGGAGCCGCCCCGCTTGGTGCGGCCCGTGCGCTGCCCTCACGCGGCCGCTCCGGCCTCTTGCAGGCGGCAGTGCGCTGCAGAGCTCCGCACCCGTGAACATCCCTGGCTCCTTGGGCAGCTCCGCCTCCTTCCACTCAGCGTCCCCGTCCCCTCCGGTCAGCCTCTCTTCACATTTCCTGCAGCAGCCCCAGGGCCACCGGAGCCAGTCAGAAAACACATTTTTGGGATCCTCAGCATCACATGGATCTTTGGGTAAGAAGGGGTGTGGCTCACTGAGACCTGGGACAGGGACCTGGGCTTTTGGAAAGTGCCTTTGGCCTCCGTGTCCACAGCTAGGGCAGTGCAGAGCGGAGGCTGCAGCAGAGCTCTGGGGTGGGAGGTGAGTCAGGTCTCTGTCCCATGATTCCCTGAGCTGTATGATCCTGCACAAGTGACCTAGCCTCTCTGCCTTAGTTTCTCCTGCTGTAAAATGGGTACAGTTGCAGCACCCTCCTCATAAGGTAGTTGTGAAGCTTTAATGAAGTGCTAGGCACAGGGCTAGTGCACAATGAGAAGCTGTGGCTTGGAGCTGCTGGGGCCTGGTTCTGCTCCTCATGTCAGGGTGGTGGTTCTGCCCAGGCACCCGGAGCTCCCAGAGGGAGGCTCACAACAGCCAGGGTCACAGGAGGCGAGGGAGATGCCTCTCCGGCTCAGCCTAAGCTCAGGGTGCCTTCCTGGCAGGCAGGGGCACCAGGGAGACCCAGCTCCAGCCTCGAAGGCCTTTGGCTGGACCGGGGATCTGGAGGGCAGGTCAAGGCGTAGTGGTTAGAGGTGTGTGCAGACTCGCAGGCTCCGCTGCCTGCCACGTGCAGGGGCTGGCGGGAATATTCCCCGCGGTAACCGCAAAACCAATGAGGCACAGTGCGCAGCCCCCGCCACCCCCCCACCCCAGGTGTTCAAGGAGCTCAGAAATCCCATCGCGGAGGGTGCGGGGCGTCCTGGGAACTGAGCGGCCTTTTGACTGACCAGGTGTGGGACCTTCCCTAGTCTCACTCCAGAGGTCAGGGCAGCACAGTGATTTCTTAGCAGCTTTACAGTTTGTTTGTTTGTTTCCTGTTACTTTACATTCAGTAGGATTTTGTGTTACTCGCGGGTGTACAGCAGAGTGGTAGCAGGCATGTACTGTACAGTGTCCCCCCGGCACTGTGCACAGTTCCTGCACCGTCACGGGCTGTGCTCCCCGTGCTGTCCTTGACATCCTGACACCTTTCCAGTTGAGGTGTCTGCTGTGTTCCACGTTGATATGTCCGCTTGGGGTGCTTAGGGTTCTGTCCCACTGACTGCTCCCATGTCCCGAAGGCCGTAGCTCTGCTTACCGGCCACACATCCATTCCTTCCCGTGTGGTCATTAAGCATTTTATAGGTACAGTGTGAGCTCAGCAGTCCCTGCTGCCATGGCACCATGGTCTCTGGGGGCAGCGGGGGGACAGACATTAGATCATACTTAGAGCTGTTGTGTGGAGTCAAAGGCTTCACACAGGACAGTGCCCATCATGTTGCAGGTGCACTGGGGCTGCTTGAGGACACTGTCGTAGGTCCATTCGGGTCCAGAACACCCTGCAGGCTTGGTGGGAAGGGGGCGAGAAGGAAGGCACTAGAATAATGTGGTGGGCAGGACGAGGCCACAGGTGGAGATGGGTCCTGCTCTGGAAGACAGAGGCTGCCCGAGGGCCAGGGAGCTGGGGCACACGGTGTCGGCCAGCGTCTGGTGGGCAGGCGGGTGGGCAGGGGCACGTGAGCGTGCAGCCAGCAGACTGGAAGGGAGGCCGTGGGAGTGGGTAGCCTGGCTGCGTCCTGGCCCCGCCACTCAGCGTCCCAGCACAGGGCGGACCCGGGCCCCCGAGCTCTTCCGCTCACGCTCGGCCGTCCTCCGAGGCCACGTCTTTTCTTCCGAATCTCCTCTCCGCCCCCACACCAGGGCGTGAAGGCCCCACTGTCTAGCCTCGTTACCATCACACACTAGCACCCTGACAGACTGCTCTCCCTACAGCACTCCCCAAGCCCTGGATCACCCCACTTTGCAGATGAGGATGTCGACACTCACAGTATCGGTGGCAGGTGGCACCACACGTCCCTGCCAGATTCTCTGGCTTGACACTGCTCAAGCCCGGCAGCCCCTGGGAGCCCGCCGGGCCCTCCAGAGCGCTGACGCCCCTCTCCTCCCTGGGGCAGGTTTGAATGGCATGAACAGCAGTATCTGGGAGCACTTTGCCTCTGGAAGCTTCTCCCCGGGCACTTCCCCTGCCTTCCTGTCAGGCCCCGGGGCTGCTGAGCTGGCCCGGCTTCGGCAAGAGCTGGACGAAGCCAACGGCACCATCAAGCAGTGGGAGGAGTCCTGGAAGCAGGCCAAGCAGGTACTGGCCCCCATGCCCACCCTCCCAGGGCCTCGTGGCATCTAGTTCGTGTCCCTCTCACACAGGGCACAGGGTCGGGGAGGCCAGGGGTCCTGGAGAACACAGCAAAAACTCAGTTTGTTCTCTTTCCCCGTCAGGACCCTGGGGTGGCTGGTGTCCCAGACCCGGAACACTCTGAGCTGGTTGTGTGGTCTGGTCCCAGAGCACCACTTGGCCTCTCCTAAGAAGCCCTGACTCCAGCGCTCAAGGCCGGGGCTCTAGGTTCTGAGATGGGCCCTCTGTCCAGGGCAGCCACGCCAAGCCCAGCCCCTTTCCCTGCCCACGGAGGGCCTCTTGCAGGTCCTGAAACTTATCCTCTCTGCAGGCAGTGTCAGCTTCCTCCCTGCCCCTCCCCAGACAGCTGGCCCAGCTCCCCACAGGCCCTGCAGCCACAGTGGCTTATACAGGCTCTCAGGGGGCAGGGGGGCAGAGGGCCACCGTGACAAGGTGCCGCGTGTTCGGCCCACAGGCTTGTGATGCCTGGAAGAAGGAAGCAGAGGAGGCCGGTGAGCGGGCCAGCGCGGCAGGGGCCGAGTGCGAGCTGGCCCGGGAGCAGCGGGACGCGCTGGAGGTGCAGGTGAAGAAGCTGCAAGAGGAGCTGGAGCGGCTGCACTCGGGGCCCGACCCGCAGGCCCTGCCCGCCTTCTCCGACCTGGAAGCCCTCTCACTCTCCACCCTCTACTCCCTCCAAAAGCAGCTGCGGGCCCGCCTGGAGCAAGTGGACAAGGTCAGCTCAGGAGGTTAGGGGAGCACTGGGTGCGGGTACAAGTGGCCTCAGCCAGTGTTTGGACTCCGGTGACCACACTGCTTTAGGGTGGCCATCCTTCTGAGAGTCTCTGCCCAGCAGCTGTGCCGACACAGGCGAGGCCTGCTGGAGAGGAGCTAGGAAGAGACTGTCCCCACGGGGGAGGGGAGAAAGCAGGAGGTGGGCCCACGTGCCCACCTCAGCCCTGCAGAGGGCTGGCACTGACCCAGGTCAAATCCTGACGCTTCTCTTCCTCTGAGCTCTGCAGAACCAGCAGACATTCCAGGATGGGGAGGCCCCCGGGGGCACTCTGCACTCCTAGGGGCACTGCTGGGCCCCGGGGGTACTCTGCACTCCTGGGCGCACTGCTGGGTACTCTGCACTCCTAGGCGCACTGCTGGGCCCTCTGCACTCCTAGGGGCACTGCTGGGCCCCGGGGGTACTCTGCACTCCTAGGCGCACTGCTGGGCCCCGGGGGTACTCTGCACTCCTAGGCGCACTGCTGGGCCCCGGGGGTACTCTGCACTCCTGGGCGCACTGCTGGGCCCCGGGGGTACTCTGCACTCCTAGGGGCACTGCTGGGCCCTGGGGGTACTCTGCACTCCTAGGGGCACTGCTGGGCCCCGGGGGTACTCTGCACTCCTAGGCGCACTGCTGGGTACTCTGCACTCCTAGGCGCACTGCTGGGCCCCGGGGGTACTCTGCACTCCTGGGCGCACTGCTGGGCCCCGGGGTACTCTGCACTCCTGGGCGCACTGCTGAGCCCCCGGGGGTTCCCTCTGCACTCCTAGGGCACTGCTGGGCCCTCTGCACTCCTGGGCGCACTGCTGGGCCCCGGGGGTACTCTGCACTCCTGGGCGCACTGCTGGGCCCCGGGGGTACTCTGCACTCCTGGGCGCACTGCTGAGCCCCCGGGGGTTCCTCTGCACTCCTAGGGGCACTGCTGGGCCCTCTGCACTCCTGGGCGCACTGCTGGGCCCCGGGGGTACTCTGCACTCCTGGGCGCACTGCTGGGCCCCGGGGGTTCCTCTGCACTCCTGGGCGCACTGCTGGGCCCCGGGGGGTACTCTGCACTCCTGGGCGCACTGCTGGGCCCCGGGGGGTACTCTGCACTCCTGGGCGCACTGCTGGGCCCCGGGGGTACTCTGCACTCCTGGGCGGCACTGCTGGGCCCCGGGGGTCCCTCTGCACTCCTGGGCGCACTGCTGGGCCCCGGGGTACTCTGCACTCCTAGGCGCACTGCTGGGTACTCTGCACTCCTAGGCGCACTGCTGGGCCCCGGGGGTCCTCTGCACTCCTGGGCGCACTGCTGGGCCCCGGGGGGGTACTCTGCACTCCTGGGCGCACTGCTGGGCCCCGGGGGGTACTCTGCACTCCTGGGCGCACTGCTGGGCCCCGGGGGTACTCTGCACTCCTGGGCGCACTGCTGGGCCCCGGGGGTCCTCTGCACTCCTGGGCGCACTGCTGGGCCCCGGGGGTACTCTGCACTCCTAGGCGCACTGCTGGGTACTCTGCACTCCTAGGCGCACTGCTGGGCCCCGGGGGTCCTCTGCACTCCTGGGCGCACTGCTGGGCCCCGGGAGTACTCTGCACTCCTAGGCGCACTGCTGGGCCCCGGGGGTCCTCTGCACTCCTAGGCGCACTGCTGGGCCCCGGGGGTCCTCCGCACTCCTGGGCGCACTGCTGGGCCCCCCGGGGTCCTCCGCACTCCTGGGCGCACTGCTGGGCCCCGGGGGTACTCCGCACTCCTGGGCGCACTGCTGGGCCCCGGGGGTACTCCGCACTCCTGGGCGCACTGCTGGGCCCCGGGGGTACTCCGCACTCCTGGGCGCACTGCTGGGCCCCGGGGGTACTCCGCACTCCTGGGCGCACTGCTGGGCCCCGGGGGTACTCCGCACTCCTGGGCGCACTGCTGGGCCCCGGGGGTATTCTGCACTCCTGGGCGCACTGCTGGGCCCCGGGGGTACGGTACTCTGCACTCCTGGGCGCACTGCTGGGCCCCGGGGGTACTCTGCACTCCTGGGCGCACTGCTGGGCCCCGGGGGTACTCCGCACTCCTGGGCGCACTGCTGGGCCTTCACTAGGCCTTTGGCGGCGAAGCCTCACTGGTGGCTGACCTCTCCACCTCTCCCCTCTCCAGGCCCTGGTTCTCTTTTGGGGACCTAGGGTCGCTGCAGTATCCGTGCGAGGGAAAGCCCTCTGGATGGGGGTTGCAGAGCAGTCTGGCCCCCTCCCCTGGGCTCCCTGTCCCCCATACTCAGCCCACATCAAAGCCGCAGGCAGAACTTTGGGACCTTGAAGTGATGGGCCTGACCTTTGAGCGCGCCTCGGGAGTGCTCGCCTCGCTTTCCTCCCCCCCCCGGGGCTGAAGTGCGAGTCAGGGGCCTTGTCCGACCAGGGCCAGGCCAGTGACCGCGCTGTCACTTCCCCGCAGGCCGTGTTCCACATGCAGTCGGTGAAATGCCTTAAGTGTCAGGAGCAGAACCGAGCGGTGCTGCCGTGCCAACACGCCGTGCTGTGCGAGCTCTGTGCCGAGGGCAGCGAGTGCCCCGTCTGCCAGCCGGGCCGGACCCACCCCCTCCCGTCGTGACCCTGCAGGCCGGCCCGGCTGGCTCAGCTCTTCCCACCTAGGACTTTTTAAAGTATATATATATATGTATGTATGTATGTATGTATGTATATGTATATGATTATGTATATGTATACATTTCCATGTGTGCAGGTATGCGTGGGCGGCCAGTGTGTGAACAGTGTCTGTGTGTATATCTGTATGTAGATATAGACACACACTTTAAACAGACTTACCAAGCACTTTTTAAAAGAAGAAACTATTTTGCAGTCCTCCCCTGCCCGCTCCCTCCTCCCCCCTCCCTTCCTCCCACCGGCCTTTGGGCAGGGAATCCGTTTCTCTTTTTTATGTAGGAACTAACTATTTTTAACTTCTTCTTGGGGCCTGAGCAGGGAAGGGTGGGAAGCTAGAAGGGGCTTCGGGAGGGGACGAGCCCCAGGGCAGGCCCTGTTCACCCCACCTCCCCAGACCAGGGCAAGGGCGGGGGTTTGGAGGCCCAGGTAGACCTGGTTCCAGCTGCGAGGCCTGAGGGCTGTGCTGGGGTTCTAGACCAGCCTAGCTCCTGGGTTTACCAAATGTTTAGTGCGCGGCTGGCAGCCCATAGCCCCGCTCCCCACCCGGGCCCTTGAAGGCCCTGGAGGTCAAGGCCTGGAGCGCTGCCCTCAGGGTCCTGAGGCCGGGGCCTGTCCAGTCCTCTTCCCTGGGTTCCCAGAGCAGCCTCCCTGGCCCCAGGGCCACCTACCAGGCGGGCACTGCCCTCTGTCCCCCTACTTCTGGCACAGCCCGTGCTCCCGCCCCCCTCAGGCAGCTAGCAGGGCAGTGGGGGGAGGAGCTGCGGACTGCGAGGACCAGGGGCTCAGGCCCTGCGCCTCCCCGGGAGGGGCTCCGGATGCATTCCTTGGTGCTCTGGGTGCAGCTGACGCCCTGCCCGTTCAGGGGCGGGCGCCTGTGTGCATGTGTGTGCGTGCCTGTCCGATGTACAGTGTGTCTTAGCTTCCATTTTAAAAATTGTTCTGTACAGAGAGATGCCGCGGGGTGGGAGGGCGGAGTGGGCGGAGGGAAGCCACCCCACTACCAGCGCTGGGTGTCTGGGGTGCGAGCACGTGGGCTGCAAGGTCTGCCCCTGCCCCCCTTGGGCTCAGCAGGAAAGGGCTTTCAATGAATTAAGTGAAAACTTTCTTTTTTTACAAAAATGCAAAAATCAACAAAGCTCCAAACCTATTGGAAATAAAATATGAACTTGCAGTGGTAGCTTGTTTGCATGGGGTGAGGGGAGTGGGGCCCCAGATGAGGGCCTCTGGACGCTGAGGTGGGCCAGCTCAGCTGGCCCAGCCCAGGTTCCGGCCCCAGCTCTGCCTGGGCCAAGGAAGCAGCTGTGCCCCACCTGGAGCGTGGTAGGGGGCTGCTGGGGCCTGAGGGCTCCCTGGGCTGCGCTGTCTGAGCCAGGCCTGCTGGGGCTGATGTGGGCACCTTGAGCCCTGGACACAGACTTCCTGGCCCTGAGACTCTCTAGGGCGCCATCCACTGGTGCTGCTGGTTTATTTTTTGTTTTCCTGAAGACAGCAGGACCCCTAGTGGTTTCTCTCAGGAACAGACTGCCTTCTCAAAAACATCAGGAGAAAGTGGGCCCCAGAGGAGGTGTCCTGCCCTCAGGGCTGAAGGTCCCGGCCTTGAGCCACCTCCTCCCTCCCCTTGCTCTCAGCTGGCCTGGTTTTTGTCTACGTGGTCTCAGGCTCAAAGCTGCAAGGGGCCATGGAGGTATCTCGGACCTCCCACACATCACACTTGTGCAGGCCCAGAGAGGTTAGGTGACTAGGGTCACGCAGCTAGAATGACAAACAGGTCTCAGCCTCTGACTCCCAGCACACGGGCCACCCCCACCCCCCGCAGGGCCGGGACCCTGCTCTGCTGAGTCCTGTTTAGAGCAGCCACTGGGCCGAGGCCGCACCCCTGGAGGCCCTGCTCATGGTGCTCCCCTGGAGTCCCAAGCCCCTGTGCGCGGCAGCCACCGGACAGACGTGCCCAGGAGTGTTTTGTTCAAAGCCCTTAGCCCGAGGACCAGCAGTACCAATTTCCCCAGCACCTGCTATTGTCAGCCACCCCACCCCACCCCCTGCTCTGTAACACGGAGTGAGGCCTGGGCCAGGGTGGGGGCAGCTCGAGGTGTCTTGGGCTGGGGAGGGCCCCACTGCAGGCCAATGGTGTATGTTCTAAGAGGACAATGGCATGTCATTTTTTTTATTTTTGCTAAGAAGGTTTCTGGATGGCAGGCACTGGCTCTGGGAGGTGTCCTCTGTAGGGTTAGCCAAGCTGTCCTTTCTGTTTCCGTCCCTCCGTGCCAGGCCCACTGCCTGCCAGCTCTCACCTGGCAGAGCCAGAAGGTCCCTGGCTCCAGGCTGCTCAGCCTGGGTGTTGGCAGCGCCCTTGGGAGAGGTCCTGGGCTCCCTTCACTGTGCCTACCCCCACCCCCAGGGCAGCTGTAGCCTCATCTTTTCAGGGTCCCCTCCCCCATGAGGGGGACTCTGCCCACAGCCCTGGCCCCCGTGAGTCTGGGTGGGGTGCTGTAGAAGAGGCCCAAAGGAGCCTGGCCCCGCCTAGAGGCTGGAGTAGGCTTGCTGGGGGCAGATGGCTGAGATCCTGCTTTGCCAGAGCAGCTTTTCCCAGAGAGGAGCAGGGGCAGAAATGCAGGCAGCTGCCTCCCCCATCAGCCCCTGTGCTGGGAGTTGGCAGGGAATGCTGAGGCCAAGGAGGAGGGCGTAGAAGGACTGCTAGCGGCGTCCCCGTCACCGCAGGCCCCGCTCCGGCAGAGACCAGAGGAGGCCTGCATTCTGGGCCTTCCACGTGCTGGAGCCCCCAGACTTGCAGGGCCCTCCAAGTATTAGGCCAGGCTGGAGGGCTGCACTGTGGTGGGAACAACCTGCACCTCCCAGGAAAGCCTGTCCCTCTCGGGGACCAAGCCCCATCCCCAACCTCCACTGCTATCGCCCTGGCCGTGGGGCATGCTGGGAGGCCTGCTTGGCTCGCTGCCGCCGCAGCTTCACAAACACCTGGGCCTCGCGGTCACCCTTGCGGCTCTCCAGCAGCTGCAGGATTGGGTCCCCTGTGAAGAGAGGGGTTTGGCGGTCAGATTCTGGGGGAGAGGCAGTGCCCGGGTAGTGCAGGGGACAGCCCAGCCCATTCTACAGCCAAGTGTGGAAACAAGACAGACCGCACCAGCCAAGCTCACAGGACATGACAGCCTGACAGACAAGCCTGGAGACACCCTCGCCCCTTGGCACGAGGGCACTGGGACAGACCCAAGTGCAGCGCAAGAGGCAGAGATGGGTGGCAGCTGTCACTTTTTTTTTTTATCCTCACCCGAGGACACTTTCCCATATTTTGTTCAGATAGAGTGGGAAGGAGAGAGAGAGAGAGAGAGAGAGAGACAGAGAGAGAGAGAGAGAAACATTAACGTGAAAGGGACACATCGAGTGGCTGCCTCCCGCATGACCCAACCAGGGCCAGGGGCAAACTACAACCGAGGTACGTGCCCTTAGCAGGAACCGAACCCGGGACTCTCTGGACCGCAGGCCAACACTAACCACTGAGCCAAACCGGCCAGGGCAACTGTTACCTTTTAATATGAGAACCTTAGGCTAGCTAGTTAACCTCTTTGTGCCTCAATTTACTCCCCTGTAAAATAGCAATCATAGTATCTGCCTCACTGGGTGGTGGTTAACATATGTCAAGTACCTAGAACTGGCCCATCAGTGCATAAACGTGACCTATTCCTGATAGCAAGATGGGCCCCTCTCCCCAGGGAAACTTGGTGAACCCCCTCCACCGGAGAAAGATACACTGGCTTCTCGATTAGACCCAGAGGTCTCAGCAACACAAACCCCCAGGCTGGCTCCACTGGCTTCCACCTCTCAGGAGGGATTCCTTTGACCCCCCAACTTCTCTCTGGGGACCTCTGTCTGAACCTTTACAGGCCGCCCCTCCCCTGCAACCCCAGTGCTGGGCTCAGGCCTACCGTTGGGGGTGGGGTAGGTGAGGGGCAGGCGCGTCTGAGGCACTTTCTCAGGCTCCTCGGTCCCGTTCAGGCCATGCACCAAGCGCAGTGGCAGGAAGGCCTCCCCTTCCAGGTCATCAGCCCCCAGCGTGTCGTGGTCCAGCACCGTGAGCAGGAGGCACGCCCCGTCCTTCTGACAGGGCTCAGCAGGCACCAGGCTGGGTGGGGCAGAGTGGGGCTCAGCTGCCCACCCCCCACACTGCCACTGCCATCCACCCTACACATGGGTTCACCTGGTCCCTGAGTGCAAGCCAGGACTGGCAGAAAGATGCCCACATTGGGGGGTGGGGTGCAAAGTACGGGCCACATGGTAGGAGGCCTACTTCGGCTGTGGGCTGATGCTTTAAACCAGGGGGCTGTGTCCCTGGGCTTGCCTGTGTTGGGGACAGAGGACTTCGGATTCAGGACCCTTCCCCGGAAGTAACATGTGCGAGTCCTCCCGACCGTCTTGCTCCTCCCAGGGAGCAGGTCCGGGACCTATGCCAGCAGACCCTTGTCCCAGGTGCCCCTCCCAGGGACCCAGGGGAGCCCTTAGCCCAGGCCTGGGGCTGCTCCAGGCGCAAGCGTGGGGACCCACTCACAATTCAAAGGTCTCATCAAACAGCGGGTGAAGGTCCTTCTTGTGCTTTTGGGTCTCCCGGGGAGCCAGCTCAGGGAATTCGTGCCTGGGCTCCAAGGTCAGCTGGACAAAGGGGTCGCTGGAGCCTGGCAAGTGGCCCAGGAAAGGGACAATGGCCAAGGATATCCCAGCCCTCCGTCTAGCCCCCACTCCCTGCAGCTGTGCCCTGCTCCGCAACACTGCCACCTCCTGGTAGGCTCGAGGAAATGCACCCAGTGCTCCTGCTGGGCGAGCAGAGCCCCCAGGGACTCCAGGGAGCAGAGCCAGGACACGGAGTGACCGATGGGCAGCTTCCACTCACCATTGGAGTCCAGGGGCAGCAGGTTGGAAGCACTGAGCAGCTCCACACGCAACTTCTGCTCAGAGGCGTGGTAGGAGGCCTTGACTGTGACAGCCCCCAGCTCCTCTTGGGTGGTTTCTGCCTAGGGGTGGGGCACGGGTGGTGTCAGCTGGGGCAGGGCTTGTGAGTGGGGCTCCGGGTGAGGAAGGGAGCCTCACCTGCTGCTGGAGGCGGCTG